ATTCTGATCAGCATATATTCCTGAGCCCAACTGTTATTGTTTGCTTTGTTGATTTTGTTTAACGGTACATCAATCACTGTGTGGGCACCTGGACGTGGTGTAATAGTTACCAAGCTTAGTGAGTCAGTCGTTCACTTTTGAACCGACTGCTCGGTTGAACTCTCTTCCTACGGACGGGAGGAACCTGAAGGAGGCTACGCCGAAGGGCGGAGTCTCTTTCGGGGAGGTAAACCGGCCCTGAACCCGTTTATACGGGTTCAATGGGAATATTTTTGGCCGAGCCCACGGGCTCGGAATGCCCACGTTAAAGAGGCCTTGTGCCACATGACACCCTCGTGAGGGGGGGGTGTGACTCAATATCGTTACCAAGCTTATCTCGCTAGAACATATTACGACTGACTAGTGAGTTCGATCCTCACTGGGTGCCCCATAATTTCGGCCTTATGCCACATCCAAGCTGTGCTCGGAAAATCACTATCAATCTCTATGCTGCAATCTAAAAAAATTAGCACTATTTGATGGCTTTAACTAAATATATTTTGAACACAATTTTATGCCTTCAATTACAGATAAAAGGAATTATTAGTAATTTTACTATAAATAAGTATTTTTGGTAATTTTACTATCAATACATATTGTTGATTGGTCGATTTTATTTAACGGCACGTCAACATCTATGAGATGCTTAATGCAGAAATCTATAGATTTTGTACGTAATCTTATACATTCAAGTACCTGATATTTTGTACATAATTTTATATGTTTATTTTAGATATATAGTTTGTAGATCATAAAATGTATTGTTGGTAGTTTTACTATAAAAATGTATTTGTATATTTTTTAGTGTTGCATTGATCGTCATTTTGCTATAAAAATGTATTGTTGCTCATTTTATTAAAAAAAAAAGTACCTTTGATTTTTGATTAGGAGCTTACTATTAGTCCATGGCTGACATCCAAACAAGCGCTACCAGGGCGAATCAGGGTGGACCTGAGAACAACAGCAGTTAAATGGTGGATCCACGCTAATCAAAACCTCCAATCCCCCGATCAGCGACTTTGCTACCGGATGTAGTTTGTCGTCATACAAAAGTTATTGGAGCTAGTGGGTATATATTCAACGGTATTTGTGGTTATACATAACCGCTGAGTTCCTTTGAAACCCGGCTTGTGTACAAATTTCCATGTCGGTTGATGTACACTATTTTTATTCATCGTTACGATGTGGTCATCATCAATTACTGCTGTCCTGTCATAACATACTAGTTTTCCAGATCAAATTTTTTTAAATTCTGAATCTCGCGAATTACTTACAAACATTACTTGCAGCTATGACACCATCACCATAAACGGTGATTATTTTTTGCTATTCGTACAGATTTGCACCTATTCGAAAATAAACGAGCATCACATGATGGAATGATGAACGAGACACATTTCCCCATTATCACTGTTTAGGTAAAAACACTTAAATTAACAACACACAAACGAATCATATGGAAAGACATATGTAGCCCTTAAGAATAGGTTATGAATGTCATAAATTTGATTCCCGTTTGAAACGAAATCACGTGTACCACCGTCGCGTTTTAAAGAACACAAACACATTTTTGATCTAAAGAATGAAAATGGAGTTTTGATCCAAAAGAATTCTTTATTTTTGATCCCAAAAAAATCAAACGGTTTTTTGATCCACAGCAATAATTTAAGGGTTTTAGAAGTTTTATATTAACAATATGGAAAATATTCTTTTAAATGAATTCTGATTTTAATGTTTACTAAAACAAGTTCTATAATTGCTCTTTACTGAACTCAGTATATATATATATATATATATATATATATATATATCTTTGAGAAAGCGATTTGAATCCGCTTCTTCCCCCAGCTATGGGTTAATTAGTAAGATTTGCATCTCCAGAAAATTAAATAAAATGGAAAAATTGGGTGCAAAATATTTAGATTTCGGCATCAAATAACAGTGTTCTGTCACCACAATACAAACCTGTATTGATTTACTTTCTACTTGTTTGTCTCTTTTTTTTTTTGTTTTGTCACATATTAGTTTAGTCACCGTTTTTTACCACTTCCGGTTAGTCTTTAGCTCTCACCGGGACCTACATAATGATGCATGCGGTCGATAATGTGGTTCATATTTTTCTAATTCTCCGCCCTATCACCCTTCTCTCTCAGTTTCCCTTCCGCTTTTTCCAGTGTTGGCACCACTAAGCCTTTCTTGATCTGATAATCATTCAAAACACGCGCCAGTTAACTTTCGCCAGTAATCGATATCGTTGAAATGAACACTTTTATTTTTTGTAATTTTATTGTATTTACATTGTTCTTTGCTCTTTGTTTTTTTTTATTTTTGTTTTTATCACTTTTCTATGAGCCCTAAATGTGATTTGCCGGTCGGGAACACTAGAATTAAACAGAAAAGGAAGTTTAAATATCTAGAAAGCATTTTGACAGGAGTACGGTAAGATCGACACTGAAACCCGTAGACGTATTGGAATGGCCTAGGATGTATTCCAAAAGCTGGACAGACTATTGCAAGGCAGGAGGAGGATTTCTTTGGAAACAAAGAAAAGAATACTGAGCCGTTACGTGACATCTATCCTTCCGGCAGCGAATGTTGGACGAGAAGATGAAGAAGAGACTGGAGGAGACAATGATGTGGTTCTACAAAAGGATGCTAAGTATATTATAGAACGAGCATTTGAGAAACGATGGGGTCTTAGAGAGGTTGCAAACAAGGAGGAGGCTTATACTTAACATCAGGAAGAGGCAGCTGAAGTTTCTGGGACACATGATGAGGAAGGAAGGCCTGGAGAATCTGATACTCACAGGTCGAAAAGAGGGAAAGAGAGACAAGGGAAAACAACGCGTGATATACCTGGCGGACTTATGCAAGTAGATAACAGAACGCGGTCTAAGGGAGGAAGAAGAGGAAAGGAACTTGTTGGGAGCTGCTAGGGATAGAAGGAGGTGGAAAGCCATGATCGCCTACGTCCTGAAAGGACACGTCACACAAAAAGAAAGATGCCATCTTATTCCAAAATTTTAATTTATTTTCCTTCGCTGACTTCATTGCTTTAATTTTTAATAGTATCTTAATACTTGCTTCAGCTTGTGTATGTATATGCATATATATATATATATATATATATATATATATATATATATATATATGCCTGTGTGTATGTAGTCACCCTTGAATAATGATTACGTATGATTGAACAGACGTCTCTTTGCAATTTTCGCTCTAGAGAAGTTTGGCTCTGCAAGAATGTCCTAAACAACATCAAAACTTTCATCACTCCTCTATTCAATCAATTCGAATTCCTGACATCTACAGCATATAAGGTTAAATGCTTTGCTCGGACATTCTCTTCCACATCAACACTCGGCTCATTTGGAGTGCCCACATCTGATTTCATTCCTAAAACAAAGGCTCTACTGCGTGATATGTACATATCCCCGTGATCTCAGACATTATTTCTAAATTAGAAGACCAGCTGAAGTAACTGGATCCAAGATGTCGTCCCAAAGTAATGTGCTCCCGAACTGGCTCCAGTTTTCTCCAAACGCTACAACTACTGCCTCGTTGATTCTTGCTTTCATGCTTGTTGGAAGTCCTCTGTGGAGTTCATGGTTTTAAGAACTTTCGAGAAACCTCCGATCCTTCTAACTATCGCCTTATTAGTCTCCTACACTTTTCGGTAAAGTATTTGAGACTTTAATCAATGCTGACGTGGTTAAGCATCATACCTCTCACAACCTACTCTCTGACAAACGATATGACTTCCGTTTGGCCAGATCTGTCGCTGAGGTGCTAATGGCCCTCACTGATTACGTATATCAAGCTTTTGATAAGAACGGCGAAGCTCTAGACATCTCGAAGGCGTTTGACATGGTTTGGCATGATCTTCTACGTAAGTCCCAGGGATACTATATAAATGTGTTTGATTTAATCCAATCGTTTCTCTCAAATCGTGAAATAAAGGCCATGACTCTATCTTGGGCCCTACGCTGTTTCTGATCTTCATCAATGATCTCCCTGATTCCATTAATCCCCAAGTAGGCATTTAATTCTAATGACACTATCGCTGACTCTTGTCTCAATAGCAAATCCGTTAGAGTCGACAATGCTAACCTGGCCACTGCTCTTTATAAGGACCTCCAATATGGGGATGACTAGGACAGAAAATGGCTCGTAAATTTTAATCCCTTCAAAACGAAACCGCCCTACTTATCCACCATAGATAAACTTTGCTGCCAACCATCAGCCTGGAGAAGAACACTGTGCTTTCTTGGCAACATCAAATAAGTAGTTGCATCTACTGCAAGGATAGTTAGGTCACTTTCTCGTGCTAAATGGTATTTTTCTTCAGAGTCCATTTTGCACATTTACAAATTTACCATTTCTTCGTGCATTGAATAATGTTGCCATATCTGGTCAAGTGCTCCTTCTACTCGTTTCGAGGTTCTTGACAAAATCCAATGTAATCGGTCCTTACTTGGCATCTCGACTTCAGTCACTTTCTCACCGACGTGATGTGGCTTCCTTTTGTCTTTTCGAAAATCTTTTCGTGACTAAAGCTCTGACAAGCTTCTTTTTTTTTTCCCTGTGCGCGGACTTTGTGCGTTTAAGCGTGCTACTTGATTGGCATCAGGATCTCACCCTTTTACTGTTGAATTAGGTAAATGTAAACACTGCTTCTACTCCAACAGTTTCTTTTCTCGAACTTCCCGCCTGTGAAGCTTCATCCCGCTTCCTAGCTTCCCTGATAACTACACCCTTCAAAATTTTAAATGTATCATTAATCGCCATCTTCTATCTTGAGCCCCGTTCAGCTTTTATCCTTTTCTCGGTAACGACTATACTCAGTATGTTCTCTCAAGTCACTCTCTCTAACCCCGACTGCGTATTAGTGGCATTCCCGCCTTATTTGGAGTGAAATGATGAAAAAGAATATCGTCGGCATGTAACTTTTAAAGCCTTCTCTCTCTCTCTCTCTCTCTATCTATCTATCTATCTATCTATCTATCTATCTATCTATCTTTCATGCCCTTATTTGGACGTTTGTTTAATGTAACCATCTTTTTCAGGCTTTTTTTAAGTTTGTATCTTTCCATGTATAATTGTTTTCACCGCGTGTTTACCGTTTACTCACTTTTACGAAATTTTAACTTTCGCCCTTTTTGCAACATTGTAATGTCTTCTCGTTGCTACCTTCTCTACCCATTAAGAGCCTCGGTTTCACTTATGTTCAGTTTTGTCTACTTAGTTACATTTCTTGTCTGTATTATATGTTCATTTCTTTTTCTAGTTTTACCCTTTTGACATTTAACAATCTTGTTGATGAACAGGACTTTGTCTTCAGAGTCTTAATCGCCGTAAGGCGGTTATCTGGCTCTCTTCGAGATTATGCACGCATAAGAGACGCACGATTACTCGGAAGTCAGAACAAATGTAATGCATATTTAGATGTTTTTGTGTGTCACACTAAAAACAGACGAGAGAGGAAGAAACAGGGAACAAATATAACGTTATTCTTATTTCATGTATTAAATATTTTTATTGTTAAGATAATATATATTCTTACTGTAATAAGACGAAGGCACTCACACAAACTTATACACGTCCCCAACTTATACTCACGCATACCAAAATGGTTTAAACAGTCTCATACAAAATTATTTATCACTCAGGTAATCAGTTGTTAAGAGTAGATGTAAATAAATTTTCATGTAGTTTTCTGAGAAGAAAAAATGGATGAGTTAATATTAATGATTCATGAAATTTGTCGAGACAAATACTTCGAAAATAATGTCAGTTTATTCAGGATCCATAAGAAAGTAACTGGCAAGAGACGTAGAAATATAAGTTCTGATCTGAAAAGGCGCGTCAGGAAAATGACTAGAGTTTTTTTTATGGTAAAATGCGTGTTATCATTCTCACGATATTTAGTATTGTTGAAGTTATTGCTAGCATTTTTATCGAAATTTACAAACTCTAAGTTTCGCTCAATTTCGCAAACAAATCGATGAAATATAAAAAAACTTAAAGAAAATATATGCAAAAAACATTATTGCATTTTTATTAAATAAGTACTTGTTATTTTAATCATTAAATTGTTATTAAAATAGTGGGAGTATTTTGTATGTAAATAATAAAACTTTACATTTTACATTCATGTAGCCTGGGCACCAGAGGGGGAAAATGATCAGAAAAGTTGCCTTGAAAATTTTTGTAGAAAAAATAGAGAGAAGAGCATAAAAATTATATTTTTCAACTACGGGTTATATAAGGTTAAAGATAGATTGTTTATAAATATCAATACCAATTTTTTATTATTATTATTGCACAGTTGGTGTTCCATATTTCTTTAAATTAAACATTCCCGAGTTTATTAAGTCAGGTTTGAAATGATAAAGTTTCTGTTTTTTAACCTACTAGAAGATTTTTTACAATACGCTGACGCGTGTTATTTTAATCATTAAATTGTTTTTAAAATAGTGGGAATATTTTGTATGTTACCGTATTTGACGGCATATAAGACGCACGGGTGTATAAGACGCACGGGTGTATAAGACGCACGGCTATATAAGACGCATCCCAATTTCTCACAGTTCAAATAAAAAAAAAATTAATTAGTAAAATTATTAGTATATGGTATAGCTAAGGTTATAATTATGAGGTATTTACGAGCCTATAAAAACTTTATAATTTATCCTATATATGATCTGTACAACCTGCGTCTTGTAAACGTCTCATTGGAATAATTCGGATATAAAAATTTTGATTGTATTTACACCAATGCAGCTGGAAGTTATCTCAAAATAAGTATTAATGAAACAAATATATTTTACCAATATATAATTTGAATTTATTGCATATAATTTTAGTGAAACAAAGTACTAATATTAAACGGGATGAAATTAATATAATATTATCAATGATAGCACTTTTAATCTAGCCTTTTAAATAGTGGTAATAGGTATATGAAAGGTACTCTAAAGTCTAAGTTGAAGTTGCCTGGTACCTAATTTCGGCCAACTGTCATGAATTTTAAACCTGCATGTGGCATATAAGACGCAGGGGAATTTTAAAAGATATTTTTAGTAAAAGAAATGCGCCTTATATACCGTCAAATACGGTAAATAATAAACTTTTAATCCCCCGCCTACAAAAAATGAAAATTTATTGTACTAAGCTACGCACCCTACTCATAACAACTTTATTTGGTGCCGCTTACCTGTTTGCGCTTCTCCCCAAAATGTGGTTTAGATTACTCAAAGTATGGCTATTTTAGAATATGGGAAGGGCGGACGGACTAACGGAAGTGACATAATTTTATATATAGATAGAAATCATTTTTTCAGGATCAATAAAAAATCTGGCAAAATACGTAGACTTGAAAACATTAATTTGAATAAGTCTCAAATGTACAGTTCATGGCTTATTCCATTTGCTTGATGAAATTAATTAGTTAAAAAGTATCATAAATGCAAATTCAAAATGACTGCCTGGTGTCATTTTTACAGATTCAGACTTGTTTAATAATACATGATGAAGTATTAATTAAAATTTAGTTTTCTTTATCTCTCTGATTGGCCTCAACGGGTTCTATTTCATTATATAAGAGATTATTTCTTTTTGATAATCACGAAGCTTTCTACGACTATGAAAACTTTTGTGAATTTGCGTATCATTGTTAATACGGGAAGCATACAAAAATTTAATTACGGCCACCTCACGATGTCAGAGTACGATCGTTGAAGTTAAGTAACTTTGAGTATGGTCAGTAGCTAGATGAGCGACTGCTTAGTAATACGAGGTGCTGTAAGCTTGGGTGTGTGGGTGGTGTAATGAATAATTACTCGGAATTCTTAATCGGAGAGCTGAATCCTCATTCTCCTTGGATTCTTTATATTTCCTTACACGCAAATAGGCTTTGGCATGGGATGAATTCACCTCTTCTCCTCTACCTATGGATTAATTAGTAAGACTTTTAACGCTAAACAATTATTACCTCCCCCACGAAAAAAATGTCTGTCTTGAAATAACCTGCAAATAGTTGATAAGCTGTAGAAAGCGAATTAATCAATAAAAAGTTAACGCAAAATGCTATTAGACATTTTTTTCTTTGTGTTATCTCAATCAACATCAGAATACTTCCGTAAGCGATGATATTAGCCATTTATACAATCCTAGAAGAACGGAATCTTCTGAGAATTTCGTCATGTTAAAAGAGCCAATTGTATGTCATTAATGGTCTCAAATTCACTATCTGTAAAAGATTTTTTTTTTAAATTAGGAAAGAAGAAAAATCCAGGTGTGAAAGTAAGATTTTAACGTGTATGTCTAATAATTACCTGTTGAAATTCTTGCATTGTTCGGCTTGTTTGACGAGGAGAATGGGCAGGAGAATTGGGCTAGTGGAAAAGTTCTCTCTGATGAAGCTTTTCACGGTGGCGTTCTGGGAAATCTTCTGACAATTCTCAGTGCGGTAAGCTACAGTAGGATCCAGTGTAGAAGGAATAAAATAACGTGTTGAAAGCAGAGGCATACCTCTTCCCTAACGTCCCCACTAATTCTCATAATGAAATGTTACTGCTTTTTTACCTTCTAGAAAGTCAAATGTTTTACTTTGTAAAACGTTAACTTGTAGAATACCCTATAAATGAGCAATGGGCTGGCATATACCTACCCTGGCCGATAGTATCCAAAGACAAATTTTGTGAGATTCCAACCCTGGGTTTATGGTTAGAAGAGATGCATTCTAATCAATCGTGCCCATAGACAAGAAATTAAAGCAATAATAAAATAACTATATTCTACTTATTAACCCCCCCCGACCTAATTCCTTGGCGCTACCAATCATAAATCACATTTTGCTGATCACATCACTGTTAGGAGAAATGAGGAAATGGCGTATCTCATTTATTGCAATCATTTCGTATTGATGATTTTAATAAAAACATGAAACCCTCGGCTTTCCCAGTCCCTAACTATGAATTAAACAGATAAGAGTGGGACCTCTTGGATAGGAACTGAATCAAATCAGTTTGTCTTGTTGAAATTAACTTCGAGCTTGATGCTCTTTGAATGTCGGACATTAGCTTCTCATGATCAAAACAGTTGCATCGATGGAAGCGCTAATTGGCCCGTTTTGTCCTTTGATTAAAAAGGCATACACTGAGTACTGAAACACATGAAAACTAATCTGATGCTGAAAATTTTTAAATATAGTTTAATTCTTCCTCCAACACCTTTTTTTGATGGAGGGCAAGCAAATAATTTTAGCTAAATGGGAAGAAAGAGAATCATGTAAATGTTATTGAGTAAGGTAAAAATAAAATTCGAAAACTTGTTTTCTATATATTTTTTTTAAATACCTACGACGTAGGCAATGATTGCTCTCCACAATTTTCTTTTATTTATTTTCTGTGAAATTCCATCAGTTATTTTACGAACCAAAATTGCCACTTCAGTTGTTGGACTCAGAATGGTTCAACCTGATGCGACGAGCTGATAGTACCAAAAAGCCTCATATTCTGGTTCCGAGCAAGAAACCAGTGATTGGTACAAAAGAAAACAAGAATGATGAGAATTAAATTTCTCTCCTTTTATGTGCTGTGTAACTTTAAGGTATGGAAGACCAGTGGCATAAACTATTTTTTAAACTTTAACCGACATTTCTTAAATTACTGTATCTCCAGTTAACTGTTCTTCCATCATCTATTTGTACAATAAAAGATCAGGACAATGTTATTGGAAAGAAAAAACAATGCATTTATCACTACTCCTCCTGCATGGCAGTAAATGGCAGACAATCTCATCACAGATAAAGAGACTTGGAGCAAAAGCAATTTAATAGAATCAGATAAAACTAGATATATCGAAATATTCAAAAAGTGCCTCCAACATTTGAAGAAACAATTTAAAATCAAATTACATCTGAAATCTGAAATTCCATGTCACCAATATAAGGTGACTGGGCAGTCAAGTTGTTCAAGAAAATAAGATCAGATTGTCAATATCTTGACTATAACAGAGTTTGCGATTTGTCATTTA